TTCCCTAGTCTTATCTACAAGTAGGATATTATAAGAAAAGCATGCACCAAGGTATGTCCTCCAGTAAATGTCTAGTAAGAGCATTCATAACTAAAGCAAAAAAGAACAACAAATAAACAAAAAAAATATCAGCATGCTTTAAGATATCATGAACTATACTTTGGTCAGATTGAGCAAACTTTCGAATAGGTTATTTCTAAATTGATGCAGATTAGCATTTTAAACCTTGTGAAGTTTACTTTAAGGTAAGATTAACCAAATAGAAAATATCTAGTCACAAAGATTAGGTAATCTTCGAAGATTAAATCATTATCAACATCATTATCAAATGGTTTATTCCAACTATTTGGGGTTGATTTATATCAGTCCTATTCATTGAAATCAATTTGAAAAACTTTTATCACTAATATCTTAACTCTTCCTTCTGAATTATCCTGCACTAATTTTGCATACTCACAAGTAAAAAATTTTATAACTTTTAGTGTACATATCCAAATGAACTGAGTCTATTTTCAGTTGTCTTAATTTTAATAAAAGTCACTCCAACTATTCAATGAGTATAATCATCCCTTAATTTTTTTTGTTTATTTTTCCACATATATCTTGAAATCCTCATTTTTGGCATGCCCAACTTAGCTATCGACAACCTTTTCTATTGGCCAACATTCATATCCATATAGTGTAGAAGGGTTAAATGCAATTATATATTTACCTTTAATTCTCAATGATATTCTCTTATCATATAGTACCCATAGAGCACTTCTCAATTTTAACCACTCAACATTAATTGTAAGGTTATAACATTATTAGTATGCATAATAGATTCAATATATTTAAATTTATCATAGCTAAATATTACTTTATCTTTTAATAATATTATCCTTATAATTGCAAATATTACACTCAACAAAATTATAACATACACAATCTGTCTACAACTGATTCTAAACACTCTATCATAATTATATTCTCTAGTGCTAAAAGGTTTCACTTATTTTAGCATACTCATCAAATAGAATTATGTCATCTACGAAAAATAAACACTAAAGCACCTTTTTTTGAATATCGATTACGAGTATCTCAATAATCAATATAAAAATATATAGACTCAATAGTAATTATTAAAATAATTTTATTGTAATTGAAAACTCTGATTACTCAAAAATTAAGAAAAAAATATTGCTCAATACTTCATCATTTATATCTTTAGTAATTTCAAAATATATTTGCAATTGTATTTTTGGCATAATGTGTATAAATCAATTATTGTGATACCCAATCATATGTATTCTCAAGGTTAATAAAAAATATAAAAAAAAATTATTTCTTTGCTCACCACACTTCCCAATTAATTTTCTTAAGAAAATAAATTATTTTCATGACAAATCTTCCTGACATGAAATAAAATTTATTCTGCAAAGCTTTTGCTTTCTATGTTTATGTTCCATCACTCTCTTCCAGAGCTTATTATATGAGTCATAAGTTAAATTTCTATGCAATCAACAAAACCTTAAACATCTCCTTTATTCTTAAATATTGGCACAAAAATATTGATTCTTGAATTATTTTTCATCCTCTTAAGTCTTCAAAATGCCATTAAAAGTATTTGTTTATTAAACTATTATGATATTCGCACAACTTTCCAATCCTAATAAATATCTCATTTGGACTTAAAACTTTATCACCATGCAAATTTAGAGTTAGCTTCACTACCTTTTCAAAAAAAATTAGCTAGCTCTTGTTGCACCTAGAAGACAGTGTCAGGGCACGCCTGCTATTCCAATTCACCAGGGAGGCAAGATAGCTTCATATAGAGGTCCAAATACCTTTTCCTCTAATAAAGGTGGAAAATCTGGCAACTCATCTATTGAATGATAGATTTGTTGTAAGTTGGGTCACTCTACAACTCAAAATTAGTATCGAACTAATCTTATTCGTCAACCTAATCAGAGAACTCTCTTTGCTACTCCATCCATGGCTTCAAATGATTAGTACTTAGACATGTTTGTTTCCTTTTATCCTACAGTCGATTGTACTAAGTTACCTAATCCACGGGGCTATATTGGAAGCAAGCAAGTTACGATTGAAAATGGTCAAGCACTCCTTATTTCTCATAACACATAAGGTCCTCTCCCTACTACTCGTAAGCACGTTTTAACTCCACTTCATGTTCCAAAACTATATTAAAACTTGCCTTCAGTACATAAATACCTCTGATAATTCAATTTCCATCTCTTTTGATGCTTATGGCTTTACCATCAAGGATCAGAAGACAAATGCAACAATTCTACAAGGTCCTAGTCAACAAGGTCACTATGTTATATGGTTTCCTCAACAGTCTATTTTCTGCTTCTCTCCAAATGCTTTGCTTTCTTACTCCTCTGTTGTTGCTACTTGGCACCATCCCACAACTACTAGTTTATCTAGTTTAGCATAAACTATACCACATCTATGTATATCTTCAAAATCTTATTCTTGTGATTCACGTAATTTAGCCAAAAGTCATAGACTCCCCTATTCAGCTTATGAAACTTAAGAGTTCTACTCCGCTTGAATTTATTCGTAGTAATGTTTGGGAATCTTCTCCTGTTTTGTCTAAACAGGGTTAATAATATTATCTCTTATTCATAGATGATTACTCTTGCAATTGTTGGGTGTATCCGATGAAATTTAAATCGCAAGTGGCCTCTCTTTTTATGCAATGCCACAATCATGTTCAACAACAATTCTATCATACATTAAAATTCTCTGCCCTAATGGTAGTGGCAAATATTGCAACAAAGAATTTTTTCTTATTCTTCAAGATTCGGGTTTTGCTCATCAAAACACTAGTCCTTACACTACTCAACAAAATGGTGTTGTCAAACGAAAAATATCGACATCTAATTTAAATAGTACGCACAAACTTTTGTGGCTTGAATCTTCTTCATTATCTTTGGGTTGATACCTTCTTATAGCAACATATTTTCTTAACAGATTATCTTCACCCACTACGAACAATCTTTCCCCCCGATCAACTATTTCATGGCACACCTCCTTCCTATTCTCTTCGTAAAACCTTTGGATGTTTGTGTTTTCCTTGTCTTCAACATTACTCCGCCATCAAACTTCATCCCAAATCTGCTGTTTGTGTTTATATTGACTATGCCACTAACACAAAAGTATACAAGTGTCTGAATCCACTCAGTAATAAAGTCTTTATGTCTCACCATGTCCTCTATAATGAGCACGTCTTTCCTATCAGAAATTACTATATTTTACCAAGCAAATCATACAACTCCAAACCAATGTCCTCTTACTCTTGTTTCTGTAACAAACAAACCACTTTCTAATCCTTCTAATCCTGCTCTCACTTACCAAATTCTAATTCTGCATCAGCAGTTCATGGAAGATAAGTAAACGAGGCAAAAGAATTGAGGTGAGAACTAAAACAGTGAGGAACAACGCAATGATGTCGAGGATGGCCACTTGCCAGCATTGAATCGTGAGGCTTTAGTCTAGATATTTCGCCTCGTACGAAAAGAAGTGAAGGTCGAAAATCAACAGGAATAAAGTCGGTGGTGAATCAGAGGACAACCCTTTAACATTCGAAGCAGAAAACTCTGGAGCTATGGAACGCCGGTGAAGCCGAGCAGCACAGACGAGCGGAAGCGGCAAGAAAAGTCACTACCAATGATGTGGAGGTTGGAAGTCAGGCAACATGGCTGGTGATCCGGAGCCAGGATGTGGGAACTACAGAATTGGCCGGAGAGAGCGAAGGTGTGATATAGCCGTGAACTCGAGCTGCTCAAAGTCCACAAAGGAGAAACGAGAGTGAGAGATGATACACTAACCTCAGCACTCTGCTTATAGTAAAAAATATTACATCAGTACTGCGTACGTAGAGGAACGTGCGTACTCAATGAAATCACGCCACGATATCCCGCGCGACGCAGAAAAAAAATGGCGCAGTAACACGGGAAATATTCCTCCCCGTGTTATTCATGTGTTATTGTGTGTTATTCATGTGTTATTCTATCCTGGGAATATTCCTGGTGTTATAATAACACAATAACACATGAATAACACATGAATAACACACAATAACACAAAAATAACACGGGAGAGAATATTCCCCCGTGTTACTGAGCCGTTTTTTTCTCTGTCGGGAATATTTCTCGTGTTATTCAAGTGTTATTGAGTGTTATTCATGTGTTATTGTATCCTGAAAATATTCTTGGTGTTATAATAACACAATAACACATCAATAACACATGAATAACACGCAATAACACATGAATAACGCGCAATAACACATGAATAACACAGGAGAGACTATTCCCCGTGTTACTGCGCCGTTTTTTTTGCTCTACCCCGCGAGATGTCGTGGCGTGTTTTGATTGGCTACGCACGTTATTTTTACGTGCGTAGTACTGATGTAATATTTCTTCCTGCTTATAGATATTCTTGGGCAAGGGCAAGTAGATAGCCTTGCGGGTGAGTATGGCGTGGCGACCACAGCGCACAACTGATTTTATAGAAGGTAAATTTGCATACTTTGCACACAATCCTAGTATTCGATTTTCATATTTACACATAGCGGAGGCATTTACATACATGCCATACAATTTCTATGTTTTTACACATTAACACGTAAACATTCATGTTTATCATCATACTTTTCAAAACTTTAACATCATATTAAAAACATTACTATCATTATTTTTTCAACAGCAAAATATATATTATCATGCATAATTTATGTTATTCTGATGTTAAAATGTAAATATCAATTTTTGGGAGTTAGATATATAAATATATAACAATTGTGTGGTATGTATCTAAATTTCCTTTAATAAAAATTAGTGATGTGTTTTATCACATAAGTTTAATATAGTTTTTTATATATTATATTTATTAAGTTTAATTTATTAATTTAAAATTTCTTACCAAAAATATTTTGATCTAAATTTTTTTCTTCGACTACCAGATTATTAGAAGTACTTCTTACCACTCATTCTACACTAAACAAAGGACCATTTGGTTAGAGTATTAGATAACTTCTATGAAGCATTGTAGGTGTAAATAAAGATTTTTTATTAAGACTTTTAAATATTTAATTTAAAGTAAAACTTATGCAAAAAAAAAATTATTCTTAAGTTGAATTACATGAAAGGTATTTTTTTACGAATTTAAAGATCATTTTTTAATTGTGCATCTTCTCCAACTAAAATATAAAAGAGTTATACTTCCAAATTCACTAGAGGGTACTCTTCTCATGTTGATTGAGAATGCTAACAACATCTTCTTGTTGTTAATCGATCAAGGCCTCACTTTCTTCTTCAAAATTGTCTAATAACAGCATAGATAAAGTTATATATTTGATGATTCACTCTTATGTACTTGAGTATATGATTTTTGTCTTGATTTTATAAGGTTGAAATGAATTTCATTTAAATTCTGGATTTTTAATATTTCTTGGGAAATTATTTTGGATTTGAAAACTAAGCATCGTGAAGTTGAATTGGGACTAGACCTTTAGAATGGAATTTATATATCCAGATATGCAATTCAAGGTATGCAAAATTGCACAGTAAGCTTGCCAAGAGCTAGTCGCAAGAGCTCAAAATATTTCTCGTCTAAGCTCTCAAAGCTACTCTCCCAAAACTCAATAAGAGATTTGTCCATTGCACCAACTTGACTCATCATGGGACTCACAAAATCAAAAAGTCTTAAAGTTTGAAGGGGACACACTTGGTGTGAATGATTCACCAAATCCATCGAACTCAAACTCTGAAAAATGAATCTAACTTAAACGAGACTTGCCCAACTTGGAAAGTCAAGTGCTTAATCTTATAAGACCCACCTGCCGTAATAGTGCTCCCATATGAGACCTAAGAGGAACTTTCATATTCATATGTGATGACCAATTTAGGTACCAAGCTCTCAAAGAAATACTTAACATGTGGTATGATTATAATGTTCAGGTAAATGTAGTGGATACTTCATGTATTTATTATTTAGATCACAATATAACCTCTTATGTAGCATGCAACAATTTTATAAATTGGGTATCAAAATTCACATCATGGACATGACATCCAACTCAATATTTTCTAGCAAAATAATAAATATATTTCAAGGTCATTATCCTTCTAATTGCCTCTAGATTTGTTTTCTTATGCTTTATGCTTGCCTAGGGTTCAATTAAAACCTTGTAAGTTCTGCAAGTAGCATTTTGGGCTTTATTATAGACAAATTTTTATCAAAAAAAAATTTAGCTATGATGAATATAAGGTGATGCTAAGAACTGAAAAAAATATAATATAGAGTAGAGTATATACAAGAAATGGAGCAAGATTTTATGACTGACAAATACCTTATTGAGATTGAAGTAAGAATCATGAGAATGATCTATTAAGCTTTAGATCTCCTAAAATAATTGTGAGGGTAGAAATGTCAGAAGTCCCCTAAAACTTCATCATACAAAGACAACTTGTAATTGTTATAATGCTAGCCTCCACACCCATAAGAAGCAAAACTTACTATTCTAGTAGTGATGAAGAGTTCACTCCTGTAACTAAGTGATTTGAAAGACAAAGGCCCCAATAGACAAATACTTTATACTAGGAGATTATGGAAGCCAGTTCTAAATATCATCCATAGAATTCTACAAAGGAAAAACAAACTTGGATGTTCACTCGACTTAATTCAAATTTGTTGCTTTTTTAATTAAAAAATGGATATTTAAAATTCTATATTTTCTTCATCACTTTTAACAGAATAAGCACTTTATCGGTTCTCATGCCTTTCACTGGAAGTCATAAATTCCTTTATCAAATTCAAAAGATGCTTTTTACTTTATTAATACAAAAAGACCTCTGAAAAACTCATAAGACCATTTAAAAATAAGATCACATCCAGATAAGTGATACACCTAAAATATATAGTGTTTTTGTACACATTTTTATACCTATTTTTGAGATATTACACTTTAATGAAAGGTATTTGTGTGTTTTTTTATTTAGGTACAATAAAATGGATGAAAAATGATAAAAGGAGTAAAAAAAGATCAAATTTAGAGCAAAAATGAACTGAGGCGCCTAAGAGCCAAGACTGGCACTTACGCGCCAATTAAACGCAGAGAGCCGCACCTAAGCGCTAGGTACCTTAAGCACCTGGTACCCCGTGCTTAAGCGCCAGAAGTAGTTATTTGATGATTCATTGAATTTGGATGAATTTTTAAGAGTTGTTTGAAGCAACCCTTGGTAAAAACGTGGGAAATAGTTCATGGACATGAAAATTCATTCAATTGGCTTTTAAAAGGAGGCAACTTCTAGAAGATTCATTGAATGGACACACATTTTAAAGAGACACCAAGGCACCACTTAGACTTTGATTAAAGTAGACTTGGATCATCAAAAGAAAAGACCAGCCAATCATCATCCATCCATCCAAAGTAATCGTCGTCGCCACCTCCCATCGCTGTCGCCGCCGGCCACCTTTTCTTTTTATTTTGGGTTTTAGTTTGTATTGTGAGTGAATGAAGAGAATTCAAATGAACTTCAAGACATTTGATGGAGAGGATTTGAGATAAGTGTTTATATTTTGTGCTTGCATTTGGTTTTCATTTAGTATTCTTGTTTGTATGTATGATTTCTACTTTTAAACTAAAGTTTGGTTGTGTTTTCTCCATGAATTATGAGTAGTTTTCTTTATCTTTTTTCTTAAAATGATAAGTGATTAAGTACTGAAAGGAAGTTGTGTGAAGTATTAGACTTTAATGTTGCAAGAAGTTGTTATGATTTTAAACCTTGTACTTCATTTACTTCTTCATTTGGCCAATTAAGATGTTAATACTTGTTGTGAGAACATGTAAGATCTGAGATGTTATTATCTCAGTCAGCAAATATTAAGAATCACATTTGATTTCATGGATGAGAATGTAGTTCATATGGTTGAGTGCAAATAAATAGGAAAATAAACTTTCAAGAGTGTAGAATTAGAAGACTTTAGAGTGGCAGGCTAAAGCCCCCAATTTGATTTATAGTTTTAAGTTCGTTTTAGGTTCTAATACAAGATGTTAGCTGCCAGGTGGAGGGAGAAGAGGGAACTCTATAGTGAGAGCTAGAATATTCCCTACCTGACCCGTCTTCAAGACTATTCAAACTATATATTAGTCAGTTTTTTTATAGCATTTCTAAAGAATATTATTACTCTTATTTGACACAGCACAATTAGAATACTTCCACAATTGAATTTCTATACTTATTACTGATTCATGATAAGGAAAAAGATATTTTATTTACATTGCCTTCATCTTACAAATATCTAGTTAAATTTATTTAGTTGTTTACTTTATTTTAATTAGTTGCTTACTTTATTTTTAATTATCAAAAATTACAAAAAGAATCAAATTTTCATTCTTATTATAGCATCTAGAGTTTAAGTAAGAATACTTTGTTAAATAAAATTTTGTTATCTAATTTCTCTTATTTTGTAAAGTTGTCTATTGTTAGTTATCCTTGTGAGTTTAATATTTGTGGCTTAATCAAAAAGTCTCATATTACTTGATAACAATACGTATACTTGTATTGTATCCCATATTTAAATATTATAACTGTAATCTTATTTGCTTCATAGTAAAAAATTTACCTAGTTTTTACTTGGGATCAAGCTTTTGGCTTTGTTTCAAAGTGAGCGTCATTATTAAGGAAATTTAACATAAAATCGCATACATCGCATTTTACATCTATCTAGAACATTTAGATCAAGTTTTTGGAGTCGTTGCAGAAGATAATTACAAAATTTTTAAAGAAATATTTAGAAAGTAAATTTTCTATTTTTATAAAGTCTTAT